TGTGGCTAATAGCCACTGATGGACCTCTGCTCCATATGCTTATCTAATTCCCTCTTGAAGCTGTCCGTGCTTGTAGCTGCCACCACCTCCTGTGGCAGTGAATTCCATGTGTTAATCATTCTTTGGGTGAAGAAGTACTTCCTTTTATCCGTTCTAACCCAACTGCTCAGCAATTTCATTGAGTGCCCACGCGTTCTTGTATTGTGAGAAAGGGAGAAAAGTACTTCTTTCTCTACCTGCTCTATCCCATGCATAATCTTATAAACCTCAATCATGTCACTCCTCAGCCGTCGTTTCTCCAAGGTAAAGAGCACCAAGCGTTTTAACCTTTCTTCATAGGGAAAGTGTTCCAACCCTTTTATCATTCTAGTTGCCCTTTTCTGCACTTTTTCCAATGCTATAATATCCTTTTTGAGGTGTGGTGACCAGTACTGTACACAGTACTCAAAATGAGGTTGCACCATTGATTTATACAGGGGCATTATGATACTGGCTGATTTGTTTTCAATCCCCTTCCTAATAATCCCCAGCATAGTGTTGGCCTTTTTTTATTGCAGTTGCACACTGTCTCGACATTTTTATTGAGTTATTTACTATCAGGGCTATTTTTGGGCAGGAACGCACAGGAACAGAGTTCTGGCTGGCTTCAGAGTTGGCCACACCCACTACAGCCAAAACCTCTGTGTGGGAGGCTATAGAGGGAAGGCCCGGAGAGTGACACACACCCAGACAACTCCAAGGCCAGCAGGCCAGGGGGTCCCTGGAAGGATTAAATGCCTCTCCGTGCCTTCCCCGGCCTGTCCAAGGGTTGGCTTGCCTGGGCTCCCCACAGCCGCGGGATGCCCAGACAAGCCAAGGGAAGACATGGGGTGTGTGGCCTAATATGCTAATGTATTTCTGCTGTTGGGTGTGGCCTATTATGCTAATGAGTTCCTGCTGGGCTTTTTCTACAAAAAAAGCCCTGTTTACTATGACTCCAATATCCCTCTCTTGGTCAGTCTTTGTTAGTTCGGACCCCATCAACATGTATTTATACTTAGGATTTTTGGCTTCAAGGTGCATCACTTTGCACTTGGCCACATTGAACCCCATTTGCCACGCTGACCCCCACTCGCCCATCCTCGACAGATCCCTCTGGAGTGCCCCACAATCCTCCCTGGTTCCCACCACCCTGAACAACTTCATGACATCTTCTGTACAATGGGAGGATTGAGGTCAGCTGCAGCAGGTTTACTGGCTCACCTTCAGCCTCGGAAGGGAGGGAGTTTATCATCCCAGGCAACCTCCTCTTCCCTCCTGCATGCTCCTGCCCACTTGTTCTGGACCGGCCATGGAGTCCTCCTTGGTCCTGAGCTGCTGGGGTTTAGACACCATCCAGGAGCTTCATGAAGTCCCATTCCCTCTTTTCTCTGGCACTGTTAGATCACCTCCTCTTGCCAGTCTTGGCAATTGCCAGCCTGCTCGGATATGGGCTGCTGGTGATGTCTGTGGACGTTGGCCATCTTTGGGCAACTGACACAGCCCAACTGCACTCCAGTCTTGGAGTTCTGCCCCTTTTTATGTTCTTACAGGGTAACTTTCAGCTCCCCAGATGGCTGACAGCATTCCTGCATCTCCCTGCCAAACTGGCCAGAGACCCTCCCATTGATTACTGGAATTTTCCAGCTGCCTCTTCAAGGGACTCAGGGGACCACCAGAATCTTCAAGTCCAAAGCCCCAGAGTAGGTGGGTCTAGAAATCAGCAAGAGATCCCCTCATGCCATATCATAGCTGGTCTTATACACCAATTTCAACACAAAGCCAAAGTGGGGTCACTAGATGTTTCCCACGCATGAAAGCTCTAGAACACGCGGTAACAAGAGACTTTGCTTTCAAAGTTTATAACAGAAAAAGCGTGTATAGATACATACCTCGGCCCATATCCAGTTCTGTGCATCGCCTTTCTGGGTTGGTGTGAACACGACATTTAAACACAGCTCCTGGGGACTTAACAGAGGCACTGTATTTGGAATCTGCTTTGGGGGCCCCAACCAAGACCCTGGAAATCAAGAGCATTGCAAGGTTCCATTAATATCACGAGAACCAACAAAAACAAAAATGTCCAATGGACAGCCCTTCCCCTGACAAGCCATGTTTTCCCACTAGCTTTGGGAACCTATCAGCCAGACTGGATGTCCCCATTCATGATGTCAAGGCATTTAAACCCATGAGTTCAGGGGTCATTTCATAGAAAAAGAGCTAGGGGAACTCATTAGCATATGCCACACACCCTGACATCACCGGAAGTGTGTCATAAGGTCACACATCCCGCCCCCAATGGTCCCGGCCACCGCCGCTGGCCTTGCAGCTCCACTGCCGAGCCCCATGAGGGGCCCGGTGGTGGACCTGCAAGGCCGGCGGGAGTGCAAGGAAGCCCCGCGAAGGCCTGAGGGCCGGAAGCGGGGCGGTCGGAAGCAGGGGGCGGGGCTTCGTCATGTGCCCCGCCCACCGTACCTCACCCGGGGGAACTGCGATCCCCCGCGATCCCCCCCGAAATGACCTCTGCATGAGTTCATTTAAATGATTCATTTAATTATTTGAAGGAGATAATGAGCACCAACAAGAAGCAACTATACATATATTTGGCAGACCAAAACTGGTATATTTTGTCTGTTATTAAAGGCAGAACTATATACACAAAACTACAGAGCTGCTGCCAAAAACAGCAGTCCTGAGTAGAGGTCCCCCTTTCGCCTCCACAATGCATAACAGAATTCACCATACATCCAGGGTTCACTAGGATGAGCATTGCCTTGCCCCTGCCAGCGGCAGTCAATGGGACGGAACAGATGCAGGAAAACACACTACATAATTGTGTGCCAATATGAGGTACGGTCGTATTACACATTATGGAGGAGAACTGATGCAAGGCTACCAATTTTTAGCAAAAGCTCCATGGTTCCTGATAAATATAGTTCTTCTGCCCTGAATGAATGGTGGATTCACAGCAGAGTTATGTGCTCAACGATTCTCCAAGTGATGAGACGTTCCGGAGGCTAGTGCTTACCTGGATTGGTTCCTGTTGGAAGACAGAGTAATGGAGAACTATGGGGTTTTGTAATATTTGCTTTATTTACAGAGGACAAGTGGAGGCACAGAGGCACTCCTACAGGACAGCCACTACACCAAATCAGAGAGAGAGATTCTGAACCCCCAACGTGCTCCAATCAGCTCCAGCAGAAACCATCAGCTTCTCCCTCTTGGTCTCTTCCAGTAGCTAAAACTGCAGTTTCCTTTCTCTCACACACACACCCCTGCAGCCAAGAGGTGGAGTTCTCTCCTTCAACCCCTGACCAGAACCATTAAGGTCCACTGAAGGGATAGTCCACTGTCGTTTGACTATTGTTTTTGTGAAGTAAGATCATCAAGCTTGTTAAAGTTAATAAGGCCAATGCTTTTTTGCATGATTGGCCTCATCAAAAAAGTCTTAAAACATATTTAAAGCCTTTGCATTCTACCTAAAGCCGATAAGCACATTTACTCAGCTAGATGTCAACTGTATACATTTGTATTACTACACAGTTACTCAAAAATACAAACACAGATTTCAAAATTCAACAGAACCCTAACATGGTGATTTGGGGGGGGGGGGGGACCTGAACTGGGACCAGTTCACAACTAAGCTTTGGAATTGGATACAGGCTCATACTTTCAGCTACATTCTGACATGAGAACTCTAAGCCTTAAAATGAGGTCACTCTAAACTCACAGGAAATTACTATAGTTCTTTTTAGATCTGTGTGTAAATGCAGACGGAAAACATTTCCAAACCCTGAAGGATATAAGTGCGTTTTAAAAGAGAGGATATTGTTATATATTAAGGTGTGCATTTAACTAGAGAATTAACTCTTACACTAACATTTCCACCAGTGCTTCAACACTGCCCAACATGGCTGATATTTAAAACAAACTTTAAAAGGAGTCTGAATTAACAGTTCGATTTCTCCTGTGATTTAGAGGCCAAGATGTCAAATCACAGGATTTTGACAAGGGCCTAGCATCGATAACATAAGCAATGTTTGCACAAGTGAGAACAATTAGCAGCCCAGATACTTTCATTTCAGGAAAAGAAACTAGAAAGGCAGCAAACATCAAGAAGCAAACACAAGGGAGGCTGAAAAAGCAGCTCTAAGGGGCTGGGCAAGCGCTTCACAGTCTCCAGTCAAAACGCCAGTCATCTCCACTTATACACGCAACATGAATGAACGTCATTCATTGATCAATATCCTTGAGCTCTTAAAAATTAAACCACGAAGGTGACACACAACCAGCTTCCAGGGCACCAATGAAAAGTGTAAGTGGTGGTTAAGGAAAATGTGCCTGTGGCTCAGTCTTAACAAAGGTACTGTGGTTTTCAAGGGCTGCACAGTCTAAAAATATAGAAGCCCCCTCCCCCCCCCCCCCCCTCCTCAGCCTGGCAATTATAGCTGATGATACAATCCCACTCATTGCTGCTAAAAGAAAGTGGACGACTAGGTCAAAATTACAGGGCCTCTGCTCAATTCGGGAATCCAGAAATTGGGGCAAAGTATCAGTGGAAAGCAAGCATAAACACCCCTGGGGAGGGGCAGACAACCTTGGCTTAACAATTATTTATTTATTTATTTCACTTTTACCCCGCCCTCCCCGCCAAGCAGGCTCAGGGCGGCTTCCACAAACTGACAGGCAGTATACATTCACAGTAAGTATAAAATATAAAACATCAGTTAAAACACAACCAATCAACATAAAACATTCATTAGATGGCGATAAAACTAAAGTGCAATTTAGGGACACAATCGGCGGTACCGCCGCATTAGGTCGTACAGTTTAGCGTATTATGTTTTAGCCTAACATGCATCACAGTGTTATTGTGAGGAACGCATGGGTACAATCATGTTCATTGGCTTTACTGCCCACCTTTCTCCCTCTTGCGCTGCGGCCTGTCCCTGCCCCCGTCGTCTTTCTCCCCCTTGACATTTTCTCTTTCCTTCCCACCACCAACCTTCCTCCTGACAGCCAACCAATCAGGGGTGTGCGCTTCAAGAACTTCAGCCCCACAATCAGCTGGGTGGCAGGAAGGAAGCTCAGAGAAGAAAGATGGTCCGAGTCCTGGCTTTTCTCCTCATGCTTCTCATGCCACTGAATCATCCCTTCCATCGCTGTCGCCCCGCCACACCTCTTCCCTCTTGCCCTCCAACTGCTGCTGCCTCCTCCTACAGCCTCTTTGCTTCTGTGCCCTGCTATAGGCTTCCCAATTGCCCATACCCAGAAGGGAACTCCCTGCCCCCAGCTCCAATTGCCCACTCTCAAGAAACTGAGGAGAGAGAGAGAAAACTGCTTCCATAGAGACATTCTAGAAGTTCCCCCTAGTCCCTATGGTCATTACCACAGGGATTATGGAAAATTCCTAGAATGATACCCAGAAATGACATCACATCCTCCTCAAATTCCACCCTCCCAGGCATCACCACCCAGATCTTCCAGCATTGGCCTAGGCAGTTTTGGGAACCCTACCATGCCACTGCCATCTTTTTTTTCTTCCCCACTGCACTTTTTCTCCACTGTTCTTACCACTGTCTTAACTTTCGCAGCTGCTCCCTTCAGCAATATTTATGGGATAGCTAAGCAACTCACAAAATGTCACAATGTAATGTCAAACATAGGGGTTTCAACTTATTCAGTGGTTTTTAGGGTCTGCTTCTATCTTGAGAACTGTTTAATGAATATTATTTTAGGCTGCTAAAATTTGTTTTATGCTATTTTTATGCTGCCCACACTTGTTTATGACTTATTTATTGTCATAATTCTTAAGTTGCTGTTTTATTATGTTATTGTATTGTTTTTTTCTGTTTGAGCAGCCTTGAGAAAGTCTCTGGAGAAGCAGCATATACTCTGCCTGAATAAATAATGATTAGTAACTATTCATTTGTCAATGGAATCTTCTTTTGATATTTATTATAAATCATTCTTGCAGCCACTAACATACTAAACAGTAATCTTATTTTTTAGGTACCACACCTTGCATCCAAAGTTAATGTTCACATAAAATCTCTTTACTCCCACACTGAATATTGTAGCCAGAATGATCTTGCTTTATGATTGAGCCACCAGTCTTATACATCTTTGTATTTTGAAATGTAACTCAGTTCTTTAACTGAATCCAACTGCAGTAAGTTTTTATATAAACTGACCACATTTAACTTCTTTCAAACACACAAATCAGAACAACTCATTCTGACTTCTATAACCGTAATAGCTTCCTTTCTAAAGAAAAGGCACAATTGGAAAATTTGTGAATGCCTCACCCTTAACAAAAGTACTGTGGGTCCAGCGCTTGTAGTTTAAAGGCTTGCACAATCTAAAAGTATAGGAGCCCCTCAGGATATTGGCCTGGCAAGTATTCCCATCCAGGGCTCTTTTTGTAGAAAAAGCCCAGCAGGAACTCATTAGCATAATAGGCCATACCCAACAGCAGGAACTCATTAGCATATTAGGCCACACCCCTGACCGCACAGCTCATTTGCATATTAGGCCACACACCCCATGTTACCAGAAGTGTGGTCATCCAACCACACCCACCTTTTGCTTCTTATTCTCTTTACCTTGTTTGTTGTCAAAACCCAGGGCTTTTTGTTTGGAGCAGGAACTCCTTTGCATGTTAGGCCACACACCCTAATTGTAGCCAATCCTAATGAGTTCCTGTTGTTGGGTGTGGCCTATTATGTTAATGAGTTCCTGCTGGGCGTGGCCAACTTGGGAGCCAGCTGGAACTCCGTTCCTGTGTGTTCCTGCCCAAAAATAGCCCTGCCCATGACTGAAACACTCATATTCTCCCATCTTTTTCCAGTTGTCGGTTGTGGCACACTCTTAAGAGAACACTGAGAATTGTCCTTTGATGAATGGGCAAAGAAATCCCTGAAGATAGGGAATTATAAAACCAGAGGAAGCCTGTGATGCAGGTCTGTCAGCGCATCAGCTGAGATACCTAAAACTTTGTGAAATATCCTTTAGGTCAAACATGAAGAACCGAAAAT